GCTGCTGCTGCTGCGGCTGCGGCTGCCCAGGCCTCTGCAGAGCTCTCAAGGTGATGGAGCGAAAACCGAGGCTGCACATGCACGCAGGCAGGCTGGGAAGGAGGAGGACACGGAAGAAAACCGTGGGGAGGCTGCCAGGAGACTGCGGTCTGGGAGCAGGGCCAAGAGAGGAGAAGCTGGCAGCTTTACACAGTGCAAAAGAAAAGTCCTTGGACTGGACTTGGGAGGAAAGAAAGTGTTGGAGGAAACGAAAGAACGAAGCAGGCTGTCTGTGCCCACACCAGGTCGGTCACTACCTTTTCTGCATGACGAGTATACATAAAACAATTCCCGAACAGCACGGAGTATTAGACACAACTAGAGGTACAGAGGGCAGGAGCCCAGGGTGTGGCGGTGAGGCTAGGGGCTGGTCAGCTGGCTTTACACAAGGTGGCACGGAAGATGCACGTATTCCAGTTCTTGGAAGTCTGCTTCCTTGCAGTCTGGAGTGCTGGGAGTTGCTATTGCAGTCTTTCAAGTCTGTCTCTGCCCGGCTGGAGAGGCTGGCCCTGGCCAACCCCACAGCCGCCCCGCCTTGGGTTACACGTCGGTGGAAAAGTACAGTGTGTTCCGCTTCAGTTCTGCGAAGGAGATTGGAGGGTGCTGCAGGTAGTAGAGGAGGACCTGGACCTGTGGGGAGACAGGAGGCTGCGCTGGGTCCTTGTCTTCTGGGTGCTCCTCCGATCTGGGCGGGCTCTGTTGCCCCTCCCACTCCCAGACTAGCTCCAGCCATTTCCCCTTCCTGGGAAGCCCAGGTATGTTGGCCATTTGCAGCAGTAGAGGGCGCTGCAGGACAGAAGGTGGGGAGCCTAGGGCCACTTCCCGAACCTGACATGTTTCCAGCCTGATCCCGAGGTTGGCTCTGGCCGAGGTTGGCTCTGGCCGTAGCTTGGCCTCAAGCCCAGCCCCTGGGTATTGTAGGTATCCCAGGGAGGCCTCCTGACCCCGACAGCAATGCCGAAGCTTCCGCACACAGGCCAGGTCCCCAGGACTTTCCAGTACCCCTTACCTTGCTTGTTAAGACTGAGGCACTCCTGGGAATGCAGCCAGCGCCTGGGACAGACATTCTCTGGGTCCTTGTCTAGGCTCACAGGTTTCACTTGCCCTGGGAGGGGCAGGCTCTCATAGCCTGGCACCCGGGTGACATCCCACAGACCATAAGCTTGGCTTCCCAGAGGGAGAGGTGTGGGGACTCTGAGCTGTTCTCTACCCCTCAGAAGCTTGTGTCACCCCTGCCAGCCATAGAGTCGAGGGCGCTGCCATACCTGTGCCATGACATCATGGGACCAGATGTCGGCAGCTGACGTGAGGTGTGCTTTGCTTTCCACTTCCGAGGGTCTCAGTAACGTGGGGCCGAACACGGTAGCCAAGTTGTGGAGTGACATTTTGTTGATGGGCTCCTTCTCAGCAACCCTGAAAGGGACGGGAAGGGAGAGACAGTCATTCTGGCCTGGCTGTGGTGGTGCAGCGGCAGCACAGGCTTTGCAATGCTGAACCACGTGGAAGATTGGGGTTCAGTTCCCGAGCTGACCAGAACCCACCAGTTGTGCCCAAGGTCCCAGCTAGCTGGGGAGAAGATCGCGGCCTATGCCCGTTTAGAGTCCTTTCTTTCTCTCTTCTCTATCATGAAAAAAAGGGGAAAAAATGCTAAAGTCATTCCTCACCAGCCACTTGGCGCTCCAGGACCCTTGGCCTTAGTGAAAAGAACTCCTGGAGGAACTTGTAGAGGTGGTCACCTGCCTCCCTCCCCTGTGGGTAGGAGACCTCCTGGTGGGAAGGAGGCCAGGACCCCAGCTACGCCCGTATATGGCTATAGAAGATGCCTGTCTTCCAGCTACCCCTGAGCTGATGGCAAACTGCCAAGGCAGGAAGGATCTGCACATGGCATCAACCCCCCTCGCCTGCCTTAGGAGTACTGACGTGGCTGTTCCAAACACTTTCCCTGCAGCTCACACTCGTCACAGTCCTTTGAGGTGGTTACTAGTAGCATCTTCCCACTGCAGAGATGAAGAAGCCACAGTACAGAGAGGTTACATGAGTTGCCCAAGACCTCTAGCAAGTGGTAGAGCTGGGATTTGAACCCTGGCAGTCTAACTCCAGAACCCATGATCTTAACGACTCTGTTTTTTCCCCATAATCAGACAGTAAAGGTGAGATAAAAGGCCTGGGGGGAGGGGGCAGCAGGTGGCGTAGTGGTTGGGGTGCTGAACTCCTACATGGCTGACTGCAGTTTGAGTCCTAGACCTGGCAGATTGCTCTCTCACTTTCCCCGCTCTCTGGTGAACACACATGCCCTATAGCAAATTTTAAAATAATAATAAATAAAAGTAAATAATTCCTTAAAAAAAGAAGAAATAAAAGCCTGGGCAGGGGCAGAAAGGGAGAGAAGGCCTAGGGCTTCAGCAGCAGTTGCTACCTGGACCCAAGGCTCTCCCTGCTCCTCTGCAGTAAGAGCACTCCTACTCCCAGATGGAGCCCAGGGCTGTCCTCTCACGCCTTCCCAGAAGGCTCTGCGTCACGGCGGCTGACTCACCTCCCTTTGGATCCCCTGCTTCTGCCTGACAGGCTGGATGCTCTGTAGATGCTTCCCTTGAGTGACAGCTGAGCTGCCATCTGTGGCTGGTGACCAGGCAGGCCCAATATCACTAAACACACTGGAGAGGCTCTGGGCCTCCTCCAGTCCGAGATGTTTCTGAGCCGGAGGCCAACCCACCCCAACCAGTGCCTCTCCCCCATTGCCTAGGATACCACCATCCCCACCCTCTGGGCAGGAGCCATGGATGTGCCTGCTGACTGCTTTGGAGACAGGCAGACAAACACTGCAGTGCCAGCAGGCGGCTGTGCAGCTGGGCCAGCCCCTCAACACACCACACACACGCCAGCCAGGGGCCCAGATGTGGGAACAGGCTGTGCCCGATTCCCAGGGTGGAAAACCTAATGAATTTTCCCTTCCCACTCCTCCCCTGTGTGTCCTCCCCATGACGCTGGCCAAACTATTTGGGAACTGGTTGGGGTTTTGGTCCTGGCCAAACCAGAGGGAAAAATGTCTCATAATGGGAAAAACAAGACGGCAGCCCCGGAATTGTCCAGGTCTCTGCTAGCCCTGCCAAGCCTGGCCTGGCTGAGCTGCCGGTGCCTGGGCCTGAGGTGGAACTGAGCTTCCTGGGGAGCAGGCCCAGGGCAGCCCTCTCAGGTTCCCTGGTTATGGGGGGCAAATGAGTTTAAGGGACACCAGTGACTTCCCCTCCCCACCCACAACTAAGATTAGTCCTGGGCTCAAAAGTGAGTGCTGGGGGCCAGCAGATGGCATAGTGGTTATGTCACTGGACTCTTAAATGGCCGACTGCAGTTCAAGTCCCAGACCTGGTGGCTTGAAACTCATGAAGGGTGGGACCAGCAGTTAGCGTAATGGCTATATCGCTGGACTTCCATATAGTCGACCACAGTTCACGTCCCAGACCCGGTGGCTTAAAACTCACGCCGGGTGCGTGTGCGTGTGCGTGCGTGCCTAAGATCCAAAGAGGAAAATGGAGGAGAAGGGATTGCGGTGTGGCCATCTCCCTGGGGGCTGATTTCTGTCTCTCTGTCTGGTAAGCACACACACCCTATAGCAAAAAACTCAAAAAACAAACAAACAAACAAAAAAAACACCAACTCATGAAGGGCGCATGTGTGCCCAAGATCCTAGGAGGAGAATAGAAGAGAAGAGATTGCAGCGTGGCCATCCCCCATGTGGAATGATTTCTTACTTTCCCTCTTACTGTAACTGGCTGTCTCCTCTCCCCCATGAGCACATGTGCCCTAAGGCAAAAATGTCTTTTTTTTTTCTCTCTTTTTGTTTTTTTTCTTTTTTGGAGAGGTTTTTGCTATAGGGCATGTGCGCTCACCAGACAGAGAAAGACAGAGAGACAGAAAGCAAGAAATCCCCCTCCCCCAGGGGCGATGGCCACGTCGCAATCCCTTCTCCTCCATTCTCCTCTCGGGGTCTTTGGCACGCAAGCACACGCCCCCAGCCTGAGTTTTAAGCCACTGGGTCTGGGAGATGAAACTGCAGTTGACTACATGGGAGCCCAGTAACATAGCCATTATGCTAACTGCTGGTCCCCAAGGCAAAAACATCTTTTAAAAAAAAAAAAAAAAAAGTGAGTGCTGAGGACACCTTCAGGGCTAATTCTGGCTCTGAACCTGGCTGCAGGCCCTGACGTCAGCAGCTCTTATAGAACAGCTGAGGAAAGGTGAGAAGGGCCTTGTTTAGGGTCTGGAAGCGGTGGGCCCTAGGGTAGATCTGCCAACCCCAACCAGTCCTCACTGGGCTTGGGGACTCCGTTTCTATCTCTGTTAAATGAGGTGTGGGCTGGGACCCGTGGGTTTCAGATTTTCTTGGCTGGGACCCACAGAAGCAGACACATGATGCTGTAACCAGTACACAGGTCTCCGGGTAGCTGAGCAGAGCAGCGTACTGGAGCTTGCTGCCTGCAGAATGTCCTGACGCTGTCCACGCGGCCTCACTTCTAAATCGCTCAACTGATGGGGCTAGCAGGGGGCATGAAGGCTGAGATGTTGCACTCCCACATGGCTGACCGCAGTTAGAGCCCCAGACCCGGTGGTTCAAAACACACTGGGTGCATGTGCGTGTGAGAGAAGAGTGAAGAAGGAATTGTGGTGTGGCCATTCCCCCAGGGGGTAATTTCTCATTTTCTGTCCCTCCAGTGAGTGCACACACCCTAAAGCAAAAAAACCTCAACAAGGACAACAACGAAATGCTCAGCTGATGGAATGAACCACTGATAGGTTGGGACCCCTGGATCTGAGGTCTGAACAGCCCTTGGCTCCAGCCCAGCCATCCAAAGCGTTCACTGGCTGATATCTGAGATTGCTATATGATCCACGTAGTTCTCAAAACAGATGAAGGTGAGTACAAGAAGTTGAAAGGCATGCCCCTCGCCCCTCCCTGCTCAGAAGCTAGCATAGGCCAACACTCCAGAAGGAGGTGCAGAGGTGACAGGGTCCCCAGCAGAGGGGCTTCCTGGCTGGGCCCCTCCCTGTTACCTTTTCAAGTGTTCCAGCAGGAAGAGGAAGGTGATGAGGTTGGGGTCGGGCAGGGAGCGGAGTAGGTGCATCATGCAGTTTTCCTTGGCAGCAGGGTCTGACAGGGCTGTGGGGAGAGAAGAGGCTTGGGCGGTGCTCAGCTCCTGGGGGGAAGCCCTAAGCAGAGCCCCCTATCCAGAAGTTAGGACACCCTGTGAGAGAACCCTGTTCTGTTCAGGGGGCAGATCCTGCAGGCAAGGGCCTGGTATCTGGGTGGGTAGTCGGCAGCTGGTTCCTTTAGGAGGTCCCACCATGACTGGTAACTCAGCCAGAAGGCAGAATGCTGCCTCCCCCAGGGTCTGGGCCATTGCTGCTGAGGCCATTCCCCTCTCCTTAGGCCAGGGCTAACCTCTGCCACAGTGGTGTGTGTTCCCCCTCTCCACCACCCCAATGCTGCTACGTGGGAGCAAACAGCCTTTGTGGGGCTCCCCGCTCCCAACGATGGCTGAAGCCTTGGTCAGGCTGAGGGAAGAAAATGTAGAAGGGATGCACTAGGCCTCGATTTGGCCCAGGTGGGTGGAGACCGGCATGCACAAGCTGAGTGAGGAGTGAGAGCAGTCCTTCCAGAAGACAGCACACACTGTTAGGTGCCCTCCGGCAGGAACTCCTGGCTCTGGGTGCTTGTTCTGACTGCCTGCTTCAGGGCACAGTCCTCTCTGGATGCCCGAGGTCCCAAGCCAGCAGGTCAGTGTCCAGGCAGGATGCTCAGAGGCAGCAAGAGGGTGCTGTGCTGCATCAGGCCACATGGCCACGTGGCCCTGGGGCACTGGGGGCTCCATGAACAAGGACAGTTACAGCAGTCTCCACCTGCTCTTGATGTCTCTGGTCTGGAGCTTGGCTCAGCCCACCCAACCCTCAGGACCCCTGGGACCCTCACCAATGCCCTCCATGAAGGCTGGGTAGAGTCGGTCTGTGAGGAGGGGCTCGGGCAGTTCCCGGAAGTACAGCTTAAGGGTGCCAGCGATGGCGTTGATGTCCATGTCACTCAGCATCAGCAGGATGTCCTTGTTGTCTAGAGGGGAGAGGGCCAGGTCAGGGCTGTGCAGGTCTCAAGGCATTGAGCTGGGTAGACAGCCCTGGTCCAGCACCCCATCCACCCTGAGACAGACCGCTGCCTGCTGCACCCCGACTCTGGTCTCCCCAGGAAGGCAGGCTGTAGGCAATGCCCACAGTGGTCCGTGGCTTAGCTCTGACAGCCTGGAGGGACACCCTGGGAGCCGGCCTGCTTCCTGCTGGCTTTCCAGTGAGGGGAGGGGCACATAACTCTTCACCCAGCCATGGGGCTACATTCCCACAGGGGTGCATCCTTCTTCCAATGGACTGTCCCGTCACTGAGTGTCTGCAAGGCACTAAAATCACGTTCCAATGCACCTCAGCTGCAGGTCACACGGAGGAGCCACACAGCGTCATGTAACCAGCGCCCCATCCTGTCCTCTGCCCCAGGCTCCCCCTCGGGCCTCCTTTGGCTCCACACGGAGCCACCAGGTCAGGTTTCCCGGCTGTTGGTTTGCTGGTTGCTGCGGCTGCCTAAGCCAGCAAGATGTGGGGAGGAAATCAGGAGAGGGTGGGGTGCAGGGGTATCGGGCGAGGCTGCCCCACCTGAGAAGGTTCCCCTTGTACATCTGTCACCCTCCCTGAGTATGCCAGCGGCTGCCCATGACGTGGGGCTGGCTGAGGCTGGGGCAGATGGTGGTGTTGAGGCCTTGGTTCAGAGTGCCTGTCTCTTGTGCTCAGGGAAGAAAGAAATCCGTGAGCTTAAAAAAATAAGAGCCGGCATCTGGCAGGGTGGTTAAGGTGCTGGACTCCCACATGGCCGACCGTAGTTTGAGTCCTGAGTCCTGGACCTGGGAGCTTACTTGCTCACTTTCTCTATGGTCAAATAAAAATAATAATAATAATAAAAATTAAAAAGAGGGAAAAAATTAAATAATTCTAGAGGGACCAGCAGTTGGTGTAATGGCTATGTTACTGGACTCCCACATCATTGACAGTGGTTTGAGTCCCAGACCCGGTGGCTTAAACTCATGAGCGTGTGCGTGTGTGCCCAAGATCCCAAGAGAAGGGATTGTGGCGTGGCCATCCCCCCTGGGGGGGGGTGATTTC